CGTCATACTTTTTATATAAACGGTAGCCAAACTACATTTTGATAAAAGCGTAGAATTGTCTTCGTAAAGTAACGATAACTAATTTATATAAATAAATAGCTAAAACAACCTTTTAAATAATATTACGCAGAATAATAACTACTTAAGAAGCCAGTTTATGTAGGTTAAATATTTGGTTTGAAATATTCAACTGAAAGCAACAGGTTTAATGCAACGTTTTTTTTTTGCGCACCGTAAGTAACACAGCATATAATCAACTTTTTGCGTACCGTAAGTAACACAGCATATAATCAACAATAATTCCTAAACTTATAATAATTAAACGAAATTTCAATATACAGGAAAAAATAATTTTAGGATGATTTATAATTATATGAACATATAATCTGTTAAAATAAAAAATATATATCTAAAAATGTGACATTACATATAAAGAAATGTCAGTTATTAATAAAAAATTAACTGTGTGTTTGGGCCTTGATTGGGTTTTACTTTTATTCTATTTTTTAATGACATGAGTTTTTTGCGTAAAGATTAAAAGTTTTGAAATAACTAAAGCAGGGTAATTTAAAATTTTGTACATATTTTGGATTCTGCGCGAAAGAACGCGATAAAAAACATAATTTTTGCAGTACAAATTAAATTTTGTACTGCATTCTCCCGCGAAAATCCAGAAATTTGATTTATTGGAGAGTTTTTTGTTTTTGTTTTTAGGGAACAGTATGACCTATATCTGAATACCTCGAGTTAACATTAATGTATATGCCCTTATCTTTAGGGGCGTATGTATAAATTTTGCCTTCTTTTTGTTTACAAGTTTTATGTTTTTTTACGCAAACTGTGCAAATTTAGTCGGTTTGCGGTATTATAAAACGTATTAAAAGCTGTATATATTATTCTATTTAACCGCATCTAGAAGTATACAAAACTTTTAAAATAATTTGTTGATGTAGAAATGATTATTTCAAAACATTTCGCTTCACAATATTTAGTAAGTAAAAAAATTTCTTATTTTCCTTTATTGCCAAAGTAATCATTATAATAATTACTACTTAAGTTTTAAAAAACAAAAAAATTATTCTGTAGATCAGCAAATCAAAGTTACAGCTAACTTTTTATTTTGAAACGTGAGCTATTGACGTTTTTATAGGTGATACAAATCAACTTTATTTTTGCCTTTCTTTAATACACAACAAATTTAAAAAAAAATTTCTATCTACTGTAGATTTTTCTTTCATTAGTTAAATTGTTTTACTAATAAAAATCATAATTTTATTTTTCTTATTTAGATCGAAAGTGAACTTGCAAATTTTTAAAAGTTCAAGACGCATTACTTCTAAAGAACTTTTTTTTGTTTTCTAAAAGGTCAAGCAAGAACAAAAAAGCATTTAACTTAAAGCTTGCAACTTTTAAGTTTAATTTCAAAATTATTATTTGTAAAGTTTTGTTGGTGAGTTAGTGACGTTTTGAGAAATGCGTCAAGAAGTCGTTGTATTGATGGTCGTCATAATAGTTTTTGTCTTAGTGACCATAGTAGTAATTGCACCATACATATGTTGTTGCTTCGCACTGTCGTGTAAAAGAAGGAATAACTCTTTTGTAGAACTCGAAGATTCTGAACAGAGAGATTACTACTCTTACGATTGTTTGTTTTGTTATCTCATTTGCTCAAAATCCTTAAAAGCAAGCGAGTTTGTTTCCGTAAATAATTTAAAAAAGTGGAATAAGATCAAAAATACAGATTCACTCAAAAACATAGAAAGCAATGAGTTACTAAATGGAAACGATATTTGCGTGATTTGTCTTGAAAACCTTAACGAAGTACATTCATCGATTATTTTAAAATGCAACCATAGTTATCATACAAGATGCATACGCAAATGGTTAGTTGAAAAAGATGAAGCGCCTTGTCCACTTTGCCATAGTGATATAGAAACAAAAATTTCATTCTTAGGTTTAATAAAAAAATAATCGATGCATATTTTTGATGTAGAATAACGGAGGGCGTATTGGAAGTATATATATCCAGATATATTAACATTATAGAAAAATTCTTTGGTAATCATGATTAATAAAATCGATAATTAACCTAATAGTTTTGCATTATACATATTTCTTAATGTTTTGAGCAAATTTTAACATCACGACTTTTTATTATTATACATTTATTGAGAGTTTTTATTCAACGAGAAAGAATAAAATCTTTAAAAACATTGCAAAAATCGCGATCAATACTATTGTACTTAACTTTTATTTATTATTTGATTGATTAAATTTTTTTTATTTTAATGCACTTTAAAATACGGTGTATAGTATGATGGAAAGAATAATACCCTAGTTCTGCGCTTGCGCAAATTATGCCGTAACAATGTAGTTTTTACACACATAGAACTGTGAAACTTTTTTTTCACTGAGGTAACTTTTTTTTCCTCTTTGTTTATGGAAGATGATAAATAGATGTCCAACAACAATTTTTAAAAAACAGTTTATAAACAGCTAGCCATCCATCAGTAGTTTTACAGCAGTATACATTACTTGAATCTAAGCTATATCCTGAAAAAATTGTTTCTGAGCAAAGTCCAGAACTGATGTCAGCATCTACACCAGATATAAGAAAGACCGGGTCTAGTTGCCTCCGTTTTTACTCTTTGAGCTCTGTAACCCTAACGCCAAATTTATTTGAAAATGTTAAAGCGCAGTCTTAAGAGTATGAATTTAGGTAACATTTTAAACTTGCATTCATTATTAAAAAAATTTTCTTGATGCTTTTACGGCGCCTCAAATAAAAAAGTTAGCCAGCACACCCTACCCTGGGGAAAGTTGGCGCAAATAATAAAAATGATTTTTAATGTACTATTAAGTGCATAATTTATAGAAATTTTTTACTATTTATTTTGGGCAACAATTTTAAGCCAAAAATTTAATATTACTTTTAGCTGTAACGAAATATTAGCACGTATAACAGCCAAAACAGTAGCCCACTTTTTATCTGTAAAAAAAAAAACTTGAAAAAATTTTTTTTTAAATTTTTTTATAAAAACAAATTTTTTCAATATTGTTAAAAATTAAAAAAAAAAAACCTGAAAAAAATTAGTTCAATAAAAAAGTATATTTGTTTCCATAGTAAACGTTATGAGCCAACTTACCCCGTGAAAATTTTGCCAACTTACCTCAAAAGCCTTTTTTCAATAAACAGTCTATAGATCCTGGAAAACAGCAGCCATTGAAAAAAAAGTCTGACTGGAGGCAGTAGACCAATTGCGACTCAAATTTTTACAATATTTTTTTCATACGACTAATTATTTAACTTTATAAAGTAAAAAGGAAGCGATGTTCCAAAAGTTACATTTTTGTCCAAAAAACACATAAATCCTAATATCTCTCATGCGCATGAGCTAATTCTAACAGTACTATAGTGAATGATGAACTCGTCAATTAGGAAGGCTCTTTGTAATTTTTGTCACTTTCTGATAAAAGACTCTGAAGATAAACTCAGTTCGTCAACTTACCCCTGCTGCCAGCTATACCCAGTCTCCCCTATTCACTGTGTGTGAAATAATTTATGGACAATAGCGCCATACAAATGTTTTTGACATAACTTTAGTCTATTTTGAGTCATTCCACTTTATTTAGGCCTAATTAAGAGATTTTAACTTGACAACGATCCCTAGCAACACTAACTTAGGTTTATAATTGCTTTCTCACTTTGCCCTGATTTTATTTTTTCTTTAGATTTTGTTAATAACGCGTTAGTTTAATAGTTTAACATGGTTTGTCTAACATTTATATGATAAAAGTATGTGTAAGTTACACAAGATGTATGGTTCATCAGAACGTATCAGGTGACAATTTCTTGTGGTATTAGCAAAGTTTTGTATTTTTTGCCCAAAAACTATTTCTATTTACAAAACTTAATTTAAGTTAAGAGTAACATCAGCTGTGTTGTACTTTAATGAGGGAATTGCTGATGCTCTGAGAGTCACTTCAATCTTGAGAGAGGTTTAAAAACTGCAATGTTCTCATATTTTAAGAATCAAAAGCGCATTATCAATATGAGCAAAAAAGACATTTTAGAAAGAAAAAGCAGAAAATTGCGATTAAAAGCTATTAACAAGGCTCAATTTAATTGTCGGTCGTCAGACATTGTCCGGCTAAAACCTCTCATAGTCCGCTCAATTTACATAGTAATCGGACATTTTGACCGACGGAAATTAAATTCTACAAAATAAAGTATGGACACGAATGGCGTGCTTTTGTTGACCACGAAAATGATTTTTTTTGTTTCAAAATTGATCACGACTTGACCACGACTATTTAGATGTTTTCATGATTTAAACATTTCAGAAATACGCTGAAAAAAGAAACCTTAACCTAAACTTAAACTAGGAAAAAAAAATGAAAAAACTAAAGAATAAGCAAAACACTCCCTTACGAAAAAGAAAATAAATTAAAATAAAACTAAAAAAACTAGAAGTACAAATTACTTTTTGTTACGCTTTAATTGCATTTGAAAAAAAATTCTTTAAAACAGATCTTTTAAAACGTTTGATAAAAGTTGCGCAAAACGCTTTTACAAATCGTCACCTAAGTCATTTTTTGGGGGTCTTGAGTTAACAGTTAAAATGTATAGCTTATACAGTCTTTAATTATGTGGCAAATCGCCTATGTCTTAAACGAATGAGATTTATTTTTAATTTTTTCATTTCTGCCTAAATCCGCCTAAAATTTGAGTTAGGCGACTTGTTTTCTTCAACATGACTACTAAGGGAGGTCGATTTTTGAAATCAACTTACCTGTGCCCTCAGATAGCTAGAGTTTTTTAAACAAATAAAGAACTAATTAAAACTTTTTAACATATTTGCTTCAGTTTTTTTGCGTTTAAGTTTATATGTACAATTTTTTTTATTTTTTTGCGACTTGAAAAATAAATTCACAATTCAAAAGAAACAAGAAAATTCTGAAAACGCGGGAAAAATTTACCAAAAAAATTGTAAACAAACCGATCGGCTGAATAATAATAATAATAAATAAAAAAAGTGCTGTTAAAAAAACATGCAATAAATGGCTCCAAAAACTAGACAAACCACTAAAAAACTCATCGGAGGTTCAAAATGCGATTTTCCTGTAAGCGATTTACCAACTTATAGAGACATTTATAGATACTTTTATTTCGTACAATCCGAGTTAAAAAATAAATCAAACATAATTGATAAAACCCAACAAAAACTTGTGAAAATTTGGTTAAAAGTAAATCCAAAATTGCCCTTGATAAAAAATGAGTCAATTTATTTAAAATTGGTCAAAACATTTAACACAATGAAACTTATTAATGAAAAAAAGTGCAAAAAAAGACCTCAAGTTGCAGCATATAATGCGTTGGAAAATCTTTATGATATATCTACCTGTAGATGCAATTTAGACGAAGTTCCCTGCTATGATGATAGGGTCAAATGCAAATATCTAACCTGCAATAATAAACATTTAGTATGTGTTTGTCCTCCAGAGTGCAAGGTTAGTTAAGAATTTAACTTTTTCTACAGAGTTTTTTTGAACTTTCTTCACAAGAGTTTATCTACTTATTTATCATTTATTTATCATGTTTTTTTTTAAAATAAATATATGATATTTTATTTAAATTTGCTTAGATTCCGCTGGAGGAACGAGAATACATCAAAGACCAAAGATCAAGAAATGGCACAAAAGGAAACATTCAGTTAGGGCCAGTAGATTGGAGCTCAGTAAAAAAAGAAAAAAGAAGAGTAGGAAAGTGTTCTAATGTTAAAGTACCCTCATGTGATAATGGCGAATCATCTTTTGATATAAATTTGGAGTCTGATACAGTAAGAACAAGAACAAGTTTATAGTTTTCTCATTCAAACGATATATATATATATATATATATATATATATATATATATATATATATATATATATATATATATATATATATATATATATATATATATATAAAGATAAATGCTTTAATATATAAAAATATTAAATTTTAGGAATCATCATCAGATTCAGAATATAATGAGTCAATTGCTATTTCAACATATAATTTAAGAAAGCTGGATAACTTTGCTTTAGAGTGTGTTCGGTTAGTAACTTTTAGTTTAAGTAGTTATTTATTATTACATAATACGTATTTGTGTTGTTTATTTAGTTTTTGAAGTTTTCTTTTAAATTTGTTCTCCTTAAAATTTCTAATTATTCAGGAATTTTCCAAATAAAAAGTGTTTTTAAAAAAATAATAAGAATAAAAATAATTTTCCAAATTAAAAATTTTTCCTACAAGAAATACAATGGAAAGACTTGAAAATGCTGTTTTTATGGATGTGTTAGCAATTTATATTTGAACTTGGTTATAATCTACTCTATTATGTTTTTGCATAAAATTGTTTATTTTATTGTAAATTTTTAGGTATGCGATATCGAGTGAAGCTGCTGCAGCTCTTGGTAATGGACTTTTAAAAGATCTTGGAGTTATTACTAAAACTGATAAAACTGATGTTTTAGATAAAAGTAAAATGGATCGAGCTAAAAAAAGGGTTTGTCTTCAGTCTGTTGCTGAACACAATATCATAGTGCAAAATCTATCATGTATTGGATGTGACAGTAAGGATGATAAAGGTAGCCTGGTTTATAGAAGTATGTTGCCAGATAGTATTAGCAAAAAAAATAAATTAATAGAAAAGGTTTATCATCTAAGTTTTACAGTAGAATCGGGAGAAATGAAAGGTAGATATCTGACACACAAAGATATTTTAAATGCCACAGGAGAAAATTTAGCGCAGTCTACTTTTGAAGTGTTAAAACAATACAATAGTGTTGATTCTTTGTTAGGAATTGTTTTTGACAATACAAATGTCAACACTGGATATAAAACTGGCCTTTGTGCCAGCCTTGAAAGAAAACTTGGCAGAACAATTCATAAAATTGGCTGTGCACTTCATAGCAACGAGTTACCTTTGCGTCATATTATAGAACAGCAAGATGGCGGTACAAACACTCCGCAAACATTTTTTGGAGAAATTGGAAAAGGTGCAGCACAAGACCTTCATCATAAACCCATTGCCAAATTCGAACCTGTTTTGACTTCTTTAGTTTTTCCAGAAAATAGTGTGATCAATGACTTAAGTTCTGATCAAAGGTTATTGCTGGAATATGTGTGTGGTATAAGTTCAGGTAAGCATATTTTAAAAGTACATAACATAAAAATTAATCTACTTAATGTATTTAATTACAGGCGTTTACTCCTATTATAATTTATTGCTAAAAAAGAACATTTAAATTTATTTAAATTTAGGTGTTGTAAATCCAGTTTACGCTCATTATAAAATTGGTCCAGTTAATCATGCTAGGTGGCTGACATTAGCAATACGTATTTTAGTTTTGTATTCAAGAACAGAACAACCTACTCCTGTCCTTAAAGAGATAGTAAATTACATACAGGCAGAGTATGGCCCCACATGGTTTGCTATTAAGAAATCAAAGAACTTTACTGAAGGGCCAAAAATTTTATACACAACATTAAAAAATATAAAAAATTTTAGCCAAACTATACAAGACATTATACTACCTATTGTTTTAAGAAATGCGTATTGTCTTCTTCCAGAAAACTTTCTTTTATCCCTTTTTGTTGATGATTTGAAAGAAATACGAAACAGAGCAGTTAGGCTGATTTTAAAATGTCGAGATAATCCTCCGGCTGCCCCAGTTGATAGAATATATGGTGGTATCAGAATTAACAAAATCCCAAATATTGAAAATCTTGAAATTGAATGTGACACATGGGCAGATCTGCTTTCTGATGATAAACTGATCTATGAACCTCCTGCTACTAAGAACCTGACTTATCTGGAACTACTCAATACAATTGAATGTAAACCAGATCCTTATGAGCTTGGTTGGGACTTTCCGCTACATAGTCAGTCTGTTGAGCGTGTTGTAAAGCTTGTTTCTGAGGTTTCAAAAAAAGCCTATTCTTTACAGAATAGACATGGTTTAGCAGTAGGGAAGCAAAAAAGTCGAATATCAAGAAAAAAGTTTTATTCAAAAAAAGATTACGATATATAGTATCCATTGTTTTAATTTTCTCAACACTCCAATGCTATAATTTATAGTATTATAACAAATTTTAAAGTTAATTAAATAATTAAATTTTTTGTCATAATTAAATTTTTTGTCTATGTTTAAAGTCTATCTATTTATAACCAAAATATAATTGAAATATTTATTAGTTGCTAATTTTTTTAACTATTGTTAAATTATACTTAGAAAGCTAAGGCCGTGCTCTACTTGGTATATGAAATGATTGCACTTGAGGATCTGAGAATATTTTGAAAACTAATTATTTTTTTCAATCTAAAACCAAATACTTTTGTTTAGCTGTAACGTTGTATAATGAGTGTTAAATTTAAATTTTATAATACCTAAGTTAAACAAAAAATTAATCCCTCTTTGTTTGATAATCTTCGAGTATTTAAAAAATTAAAAAAAAATTTTAAAATTATTAAAAAAAGTTTAATTACTTTTTCAAAAACGCAGCTTCTTTTTTGCTACCTTTTTTCACAAGTTCATACAACAGTGACAGATCCAGGGGAATGGAAAGATGCATAAACCACCGGAATCTGAAAGTACTAAAAATTTTTAAAAATAGAGGACCAATTTTTTTTTAGGAGGCTTAAATCTCATACAAAATACAAAAATAAATTCACCCCCCCCCCCCCCACCAAAAATTCTTGGATTTGTCACTGTCATGCAACCCTGTAAAATTCAACCTCAACTTGTATTTAAACTGTTTTATAACTAAAAATAGTATATAGTTAAAGGCTGCAAAGTAAGACCGGGAATGCCACAGTTTTGATTATTTAAAAAAAAATTGAAGAATTATCCCATAACGTATGGTTTGCAGTTTTTAAGTGTAAAGTTAGGGGTAACTGGAAATTTTCGGTAATGATTTTACTAATTTATAACGACACAGCAACATTCGTACTGTAAATGGAAGCAAGAGATCTAAAAAATCGGAAAATATAAAATTACTTTTTTTAGATTACACTCTTCAATTGTTGCATAGATTTTTAGTCAAATTGACGTTTTTACTGAATTTTTCTTTTCATTTGCGAAAAATTTGGCTTGCATAGAAAAAAAAAGCAAGATTGTTCTTAATTCCTGACATGATTTCCTAGCTATCTGAGGGCACAGCAAGTTAAAATTTTGAAAAAAGTACAAAATCGACCTCCCTTAATGACTACTCATACCACGCCGCTTTTCTACAGTGATTCAGAAGTCAGAAAAATATTAGATGAAAGTAAGGATTTTTCAAAATAAACGAAAGTGACGTAGCAAAAGAAATACCGAAGTTATTCAGTTTTTTTTTAGTTTTCTAAAAACAAGAAAAAATGACTCAGGCGATTGTGCTATGATCGTGACGAAATTACTTTTATTTGTTAAATAATTGAACAAATTTATTTATTATTGAAAAAAAAATATATAATAATTTTAATTTGTATAAACATTTTTTTCAAACATTTGCAACAAAAAGTTATAGAAAAAAATTACGTTGCCTTAAATTAAATCGTGGGAAGATTTAATTTAACTTATTCATAATTTAAAGTAACTTCCCAGCGGGCACAGACGTGAATCAAACGTCTTACGGACGTCTTAACTAGGTCGCGACGTCTCAGACCAAATTAGGACGTCCTAAAGACGTCTGGTAAAGACGTCTTTGTTAGGACGTCCTTGTGACGTTAATATAAAGACGATATCAGGACTTCAATATTTAGACGTCCTATTGACGTCGCTAAGACCTACATAAGACGTCCTAATTACCTTAAAAATAAGTAAAAAATTAATACTATCAACTTGGCGCATACAATATTATGCGCAAACTCGGTTAATAAAATATGTGGTAAGTACGGTAAGTACATGATTCCATAGCGTAAAGTTAGGTCCCGTAAAATGTTCCGCAATTGTCCCGCTTCACGTCCAGGACAGAGTTAACATAATTAATTTTTGCATTTATAATTTAATTTATGAAATAATTAATATTCTTTAAATGTGGAGCACGTTTTCACCTGGTTATCGTCGAAGATTAAATTTAAATTGGTAAAAAAATTATTATTATAGATAATAATAATTTAAATTTATTAGAAAACACAACATTGAGTAGAGGTAATACAAGACAGGTAGAAACATGATTCCATAGCGTAAAGTTAGGTGACGTAATGTTTATTTTTTGGCGAATAATTAAGTATTTAAGATGCAAAAAGCATTGTTAAATTATTTGTTTTATGCAATAGTTTTATGTGAATATTTAATTACCCAGCCGGCACAATGACGTTGAAATAACGTTGAAATAACGTCGAAAACCGACCATATGCCACGTTGAAATAACGTTGAAATTTGGTTGAATTGGAAATAAAATCCGACGTCGAAAACTACGACGTTGAAACAACGTCGATGATAACGTCGTTTCAACGTTGATCTAACGTCTTATCGACTACATATCAACCATATTTCAACTTTGAATAGGTGATATATTTGATTGATACGTAGTTGATAAGACGTTAAAACAACGTTGAAACAACGTAAATTCAAAGTTGATTTTTGTTTTTTATTTTGGTTAAACCCAATTAACTAAAAAATTTTCTCAACTTTAATTGCAATAAAATAACACAATAAAAAAGCAATAATTTGCGCAGAGGATATTATATTTCACGTAAATTAATCAGATACAACTAAATTGCTTCAACGGACTTTATATACAATGCAAATAAAATAAAATGTTTGAAAAAAAAAAGTTTTATTTATCAGTAATATATTTATCAATTTATCAATAATAACTATTATTAATAGTTCCAGAACAACTAGGAAAAAGTATGAATGTTATACATCGGGTTTATCGCCTTTTACGCGCCGACCACCACCATTTGATCTGTCGAGTGCGTATTTTAATGAAAAAACTCTCTCTATAAAAAAGGTATTGCCTGAGTAACTTTCATCAAATACATCAAAAAGTTAAAAATAAAATAGCATTAAAAAAAAGAAATGTGATTTTTAAAAAATATATAATTTTACACTTAACTTACAAGTAAATACCTAACGTTTGTTCCTTTAAACTTCTCTTTACCTTTACCGCCAGCCATATTAAATTTTGATTATAAACCATTGGTCAACAACCTGCATTATACATTGTTATTATTATTATAGTTACATTAAAAATTGATAAACATGTCTTAGACAAAATACAAATTATTCTCAATGAAAAAGTGCACAAACCGCAAAGGTTTCTTACCAAACCGTAATGCAAGTAAGAAAAAGAATTGATACAGGGGAAGAGTTGTGTCCATGGAGACCACCTTCTAAACGCAAGAAAACACCAAGAGCGGACAGTATAATCAGAAATATCTGCCTGGAAAACAGAAAAAAAGCCACTAAGCTTATCCATGAAGCTGTAATTGTTGTGTCAGACCGGACCATTTGTAGAAGGCTAAAAGAAGAGGGATTGATGTCCAGCCAAAAAAGTCAAAAATTGACAAAAAAAAATTAAAAATATTAAAAATAATGTCAAAAATCTTATATTTATGCAAGATGGTTCAACTTGCCAAACAATAAAAACTTTTATGGCTTAGTTGATGTATTGCTATAGTCAGACAAACCGCATGATCTTAACCCCATAGAAAACATTTAGGAAATAGTAAAGCAAGAGATTGGAAAAAAAATTTTTACTAATAAGCAAGATCTTATAGAAGAGATTATCAAGATCTGGCATAATAATCCAATGTTGACAGAAACTATAAAAAATAAATTGCAAGCATGCCACAATGCAATGAAGTAGTTATTGCAAATAAAAGTGTTTTTGCAAAATATTTATACTTTATATATATTTTATATAATTTATCATAATAACCAATGAATATTCAAAATGTTCAACTTTATTTATTTATTTTTATCAAGTACAACTTTATAAATAAAAGAAAAAACTTTAAATTGAACCATTATTGTAGATATATATATATATATATATATATATATATATATATATATATATATATATATATATATATATATATATATATATATATATATATATATATATATATATATATATATATATATATACAATAATGACCAGAAAAAGTTTACAAGAAAAACCAGACCAGAAAAAGTTTACAAACTTAAATTATTTTTTTTTTTAAATGATAGACTGCCTGCTTAAACCAAACCCTCAGTCGATGTAGCAGCACTCCCTTGCGAGTCAGGCTATTTGTCAGTTGTTGTAGCAGCACTCCGTTGTGAGTCAGGCTATTTGTCAGTTGATGTAGCAGCACTCCTTTGCGAGTCAGGCTATTTGTCAGTTGTTGTAGCAGCACTCCGTTGCGAGTCAGGCTAATTGTCAGTCGATGTAGCAGCACTCCCTTGCAAGTCAGGCTATTTGTCAGTCGATGTAGCAGCACTCCGTTGCAAGTCAGGCTATTTGTCAGTTGATGTAGCAGCACTCCCTTGCAAGTAAGGCTATTTGTCAGTCAATGTAGCAGCACTCTGTTGCGAGTCAGGCTATAAGATAGTCGATGTAGAAATACTCCCTTGTAGCAGCAGGCTATAAGATAGTTGATGTAGCAACATTTACGCATGTTTTAAAAATGTTTTTTAATATAACAAAAACACCACTAATTAAAAAAACTTTCTAGTCGTTATTATTGCTGTTTTTTAAAATTTTTTTAAAAAACAATAAAATTTAATGTACTTCCCCATTAATTTAATTGCTTTGACATTTCGACGACAATCAAATACAGCTTAAGAGATAAGGAAATTAAAATTGTAGTCGAAAGTGACTTTTTTTACATTAAAAGACTCTTTCGACTACACTATAAGGATTTATATATATATAAATATATATATATATATATATATATAAAATATATTCATAAAAGCATATGTATGTATATATAAATACATATATATGTATGTTTATTTATATACATATATATGTATGTATATATAGAGTAAAAAAAAAGGTTAAGTATGCGTTACAAATCAACCTTTGTACTTTAAGGTTGTTCTTTAGCTCAAGGAA